TATTCCAAACTTTGCCATATCATACGATGTTAGAAGGGACCTTGAAGGTCACTGGGTCTAAACCCTGTAATTTAGAGGAAACTGAGGCCCAGTGAGTTAAAAGGACTTATATAGTGTTGTACAGCTAGATAATAGCAGGGCCAGTATTTGACCCCAGGTTTCTTGATTCCTAGTCAGTGCTTTTTGTATTATACAGATAAATTATCTTAAGAAAAAATAAATTTCTTCTTCTAACTAGTATCATTAGGTCATTGTAGTACAATAACAGTAGTAACCTGAGAGTAGGGGAAAGGGGTCTCTATATGGAATGCTTTGCTCTTTCTTAGGTCTTTCCCCAAAGTAAACATTTGGAGGGCATTGATTCTAGAGCAATTACCTTTTGAATAGGGATTTACTTCAAGAAGCAATAATAATCAATTAGAGTATTGCCCATCTCTCTCTCTCTCTCTGTCTCTCTTTTTCTTTTCTCTTTCCCTCTCTCTCTCCCCCCCATTCTCTCCCCTTCCCTCTTTTCTGCTCTCCCCCTTTCTCTCTTACCCTCCCTCTCCTGTCTCTATCTTTCTTGCCCTCTCCTTCCCTCCCTGTCTTTGACTTCAGAGAGCAAGAAGGAATCCTCTGTTGAGTTACAAGCCTAATTCAGGCTTGATTTGAAATAAAATTCAGGGCTTACTTCTAACTTCCCTCATGTATAACCTTAAGCCCTTTACAGAACTGAGAATAAACCAAACATGCTGATATTTGTTTTTTTTATGTCAAGTGGTTGAGAAACCCTCTCTGGATAGTACTACTATCCCATTGCATCACTTTCCTCTTTGATTTGTGAAACTAAAGGATATCTTATCTGGGATAAGCACTTGGAAATTTCACCCACATTCTCTGCCAAGTAGTCAAAAGAGACTGGGTAACTACTATATGTGCACAGTATTGTTCTGAGCACTATGAAGACAGGTACAGAAGGAATATGAAAGGAAATTTTAGTAATTCATATTTCTGTAATATTTGAGGGTAAAGTAAATAGATAATACAAGTATGATTTGTCCCCATCTTACAGACAAAGAAACTGAGGTCAAGTGACTTGCCAGCACTCCCACGGATAGTAAGTGCTCAGAGCTGAGCTTTGAATCTATGTCTACTGACTCCAAGTCCATTATTCTTTCTAGTGCCCCATACTACCTGAATATGGCTCTGCCTTTGGTTGGGCAGCTAGGTGGCACAATGGATAGAGTGCCAGACCTAGCGTCAGGAAGACTCATCTTTGTGAGTTCAAATCTGGCCTCAGACACTTACTAGCTGTGTGTCCCTGGACAAGTCACTTAATCCTGTTTGCCTCAGTTTCCTCATCTGTAAAATGAACTGGAGAAGGAAATGGCCAACCACTCCAGAAAACCCCAAATGGGGTCGCAAAGAGTTAGATACAACTGAAACACCTACTGATCATGTACCATGACAAATGCTATGAAAAGGCAAAATTACAAGAGAAGGTAGAAGGGATAAATATATAAAGCTCAGTTCAAGGAATTGAGCCACTGATCTGATCTTCATATGGCCTGTCCTGATACCTCCAAATGCTAATGCCTCATCTTGGGTCCCCTCCCCAATATTACCTTGAATTTACTTTTTCTTATATTCTTTATATATTTATATGTGTATATACAGTTTCTCCCAATGGAACGTAACCTCCTTAAGAACAGAAACTGGTTCATTATTTTTTCCTTTGAATTCTTAGCCTAACACATAGTAGGCACTTAATAGTTGTTGGTCGATTGATACAACCAAAGTAACTAATGAAGCTATACAGAATTAAAGAGAGCATTGAGAACCTTGCTATAGTCAATGACAGTGTCAAGTGGATTTGGGGAAGCTTCCTAGGAAAGAAAGGACTTCCTCATGCAATATATCTTAGGGAACTCAAATGAGGTGAGGGATCTCTCTGATGCTGCCCATCCATCTTGGCTCTACAGGTTGGCTGAGCACCTGCGGAAAACCAAAGCAGCCATTGTCATCCAGAAACAGTATCGGATGCAGAGGGTCCGGCAAGCCTATAGAAGGACCTATAAGGCTACTATCACTATCCAGGCCTTTACCCGAGGCATGTTTGTACGGAGAGCCTACCGCCAGGTACTAAATAGACCTCTTCCTCCCTCTAACCTCTACCCTTACCCTCTTACCCCCACCAAATGCTGGAAGGATGGAGTGGGAGAAACTTGAGAGAGGACCACAGAATAATTACATACATTTCTGTGGTGGAATTTAATTATTAAGAGCCTACTATGTACTGGGCAGCAGCCAGATGGCATAATGGATAAAGTGCTGCGTCTGGAGTCAGGGAGACCTGAGTTCTAATCCAGTCTCAGACACTTACTAGCTGTGTGAACCTGGACAAGTCACTTAACCTTGTTTGCCTCAGTTCCTTATCTATAAAATGGTCTGGAAACAGAAATGGGAAACCACTCCAGTGTCTTTGCCAAGAAAACCCCAAATGGGGTCACAAAAAGTCTATATGACTGAAAAGCAACCTAATGCAAACAACAACATATTACCAGGCACTTGATTAAGTGCTTTACAATTATTATCTCATATCGTCCTCACAACAACCTAAGATGGTAGGTGCTGTTATTATCCCCATTTTACAGTTGAGGAAACTGAGGCAGACAGTTTAAATGACTTGCCCAGAGTTACACAGCTAGTAAGTGTCTATTTGAACTCAAGTCTTCAGGTCTTTAGACCCAGAATTCTATCCACTATGCCACCTAGCTGATATGAATCTCTCATGTAAAAAGTTCAGGATTAATTCTAAATAAAATGAGAGAGAAAACCAAAATGTTTGTTAAATGTAGTAAAAATTGGGATAAGGCAATGCTGGATAAATCCTTCTCCTCCCCTCTCCCCATCACAAGCAGCCTAGAGGGATTCTTGTGCCTTGGATGCTAAGCCACCCAGAGGACTTTCTACGGACAGAGTCCTGGGGATTGTTGACAATCCCATATGATATCTTGAGGGAATGAGGTCGGGAGGGCGCAGAGTTTGGCAGGTAGTACTAACCACCTGGTAGGTGGCCATCATGAATAGCTCTAGTAAAGGTCAAGGGAACTAGTAAACCACCAAACACATATTCATAGATGTCTTCTGCTCTGAGCCTACCCCAGAGGAGAGAGTAAGAGAATGAGCGAGAAGGCACGCTGGATCCTCGGTGTATACTATCTGGAAAGGGAAAGTATATGTGTAGCAAAAGTTATATAGGCAGCAAAGAGGGATTCAGAATACTCAGTAGACAAAGTGACACTGTTTTATTTCTAGGGGTGAGGGAAAGGTTTGAGGTTGCCCCTGAGTGGGGGAGCCAGTGCACGGTAGTAGTAGAATATGACTTAAGAGTCAGGAGGGCTGGATTCTACTTCCCTCCCTGCCACCATTTAGGTAATTTTTCACCTTTCTTGCCTTCATTTTTCTAATATGTAAATGGGAGCAGGGGAGAAAATTAAAAACTCAAAATCTTATGGAAGTGAATGTTGAAAACTAAAACTAAATAAATTGTCTAATAAAAAAAATCTAAAAAAATAAATAAATAGGAGTACAGGGTTAGGTGCTCTCTTAGGAGATGTCAGGCAATCACTTTGTGATTCTTTGATTCTTTTTTTAAGAAAACAGAGACCTCCGGCAGCTTTCTTGACATTGTTGAAACTCGTCTATGGGTTGGGCAACTACTAAACTCTTAAAATTAAAGAGAGGAGACTGAAAATGGGGTGTAATTTAGCAAGGAAACTCTCTCCCACTTCCCAGAGCTTCCCCAACCTGGCTGAAATCCAGAACCTGAAATCTCTTTAATGTTAGAAATTTGGCTCTTTTCCCCATCCATTGTCTTTCCTTTTATCTTGACTGAGAAATCCCAGCAACACATCTGAGGTTTTGTTTGTCTCTCACCAGATCCTACTGGAACACAAGGCCACCAGGATCCAGAAAAATGCCAGGGGTTGGATGGCCAGGAAGAGATTTTTGCAGTTTCGGAGGGCAGCCATTGTCATCCAGTGTGCCTTCAGGCGCCTGAAGGCCAGGCGGGAGCTGAAGGCTCTCAAGATTGAAGCCCGCTCTGCTGAGCACCTGAAGCGATTGAACGTGGGCATGGAGAACAAAGTGGTTCAGCTGCAGAGAAAGATTGATGATCAGGTCAGTCCTGCCCTGGGCACCATCAGCAGACTTTCTAGGGCTCTAGATTTTTTTGTTTTTTTGTGGGGAGGCAATCAGGGTTAAGTGACTTGCTCAGGGTCACACAGCTTGTAAATGTCTGAGGCCAGATTTGAACTCAGGTCCTTCTGACTCCAGGGCTGGTGCTCTATCTATTGTGCCACCTAACTGCCCCAGATCTGGATATGTTGAAGGAGATAGCTGGAGAAGAATAATGGGTCTTCAATAAAAGCTACATGGTAAAGGGGGAAAGGTTAATAGATTTCCCTCTTCTGCTGTAGATCCCAGCAGAGTCTGTTGAAGGCAGAGACCATTTGACTTTTGTCTTTTGTACCCCCTCTCCCCAGTTGTTAACACAATTCCTGGCAACATAGTAAGTGCTTAATAAACGCTTATTTTCTGATTGAGTGACACCAGACACTATGTTCTAGGTAATGGGAAAACAAAGACAAAAGGATTAATCTCAGGGTACTGAGTGACTTCAAGAAGAAATTAATTCAAGAATCTAAAGTTTTATCTCAGTCGGACTTTAAAGCTTTTCCCTTCTCCTGCCTTAAGCAACCAATCAGTCAAATGAACTTAAATGAATTAAGCTCTTTCCATGTTGAAGGTCTTGTGATAGATACAAACAAGCGTAAGACCCAATCTTTGCCCTCATAAAGCTTGCAGTCTACTTGTAGAGACAATGCTCGCTCTCTCTCTCTCTCTTCATATACCTGCTTACTCTTGCCCTACTTTAGCATAAATCCTAGTCTTCCTCTTTGCTAGGCATGAGGAAATGATTATTGTTTTGTTAGGCACAGTACACTAACAATTACTTAGAAAAGCCCTTTCTTTCTTGGAGTTCACAATGTATATGCAGGTTACAGCATCAGTAAGAAATATCTTGTTTTGTTGTTAGGTCATTTTTCAGTTGTGTCCTATTCTTCATGACCCATTTTGGGTTTTCTTGGCAAAGATTCTGGAGCAGTTTGCCATTTCCTTCTCCAGTTCATTTTACAGAGGAGGAAACTGAAGCAAACAGGGTTAAGTGACTTGCCCAAGGTCACGCAACTATCAAGTGTCTGATGCTGGATTTGAACTCACAAAAATGAGTCTTCCTGACTCCAGGCTTGGCACTCTTTCCATATTTAGGTCAGTGCCTTCCTTAGAGCAAACATTCAATACATGTTTGTTGAATTAAATTGAAATTGAACTAGCCTAGTAGAGGAATATAAACTGAGGAAAGTGTTGAGTTTCTCATCACTGAACACAAATTTTTGTGTGTCTTTTTCTATGTGGTAGTCACTCACAAGCATTCCAAAGGCAGTCTACTAAAGTTGGGAGTTAGACTTAAGCTTAATTAGTTCATACAGCCAGTAATCCAAGACAAAGGTGGCAACAACACTGTGTTCCTGCAGGATCTTCTGAAGGACTCCAGTCTATTCAAAGGAAGTGGAGAGGAGAAGAGGTATGAAGAGAGAGGAAAGGGGAAACAAAAAGGAGATATCTCTTATGGGGGAAGGAATTGGGAGTGAAGATCATCAACATCTATGAGGACCACAACGAACCTCCTCCTGTTCTAGATGTTCATGATACCCCGTTGAGGCAAGGGATTGGCTATTCCAATTCATATGTAGACAGACTGCCCTAGTATCTCATAGATGCCCAAGTGGCAGCAGAGTGCTAAGGTTGAGGCCATGTTTTTGTCTTTCTAGATCTATTTACAAACTGTTCTGTTTAAATGTACATTCCAGGGGTAGCTAGGTGGCGCATGGATAGAGCACCGGCCCTGGATTCAGGAGGACCTGAATTCAAATCCAGTCTCAGACACATAACACTTACTAGCTGTGTGACCCTGGGCAAGTCACTTAACCCCATTGCCTAGCCAAAAAGAAAAAAAGAAAGAAAGAAAAAAAAAAGAAATGTACATTCCAACCATGGCCTTTTTAAGGCTTCTTCCATGGTGGAGAAAGATGGGAGGAGGCAGCTATAGTGTTGGTGGGGACTATGAGAACATAGCAGGTATGCACAGCTAGATGATGAGAAGAAAGGTATAAAGAGTCTAGTCTGGAAAGGAAAAGAAGGAAGAGGTTTACAAAGTCAAGCTTTTGGGGAGTCCCATCCCAAGAGAGAGACCAACGTCTCCATGGTAAAGTTCACCTGGAGCCACATGTAACAGGTTGGCCAGCCAAGCTAGCTGAGTGTTAGAGACATTAGCTATTCACCCTGCAGCACAGTGTAATTGTGGAACATCAGGTTCCATTGCCTCATGGGTTCTGAAAGCTCTACAGGTCTGGCCCTTAAAAGCCAGCTACAGCAAATGCATCTCCTCCTTTGCTCAGCTAATGTCC